TGGAGGTAATTTTTTAAAATTGGCTAAATAGATGTTAGATTTGTGAGAGAAATGCCCAAGAACTTGTCTTACATCAATTTTAGGGTTGGAAATATCTGTATCTTGTAATTTGGCCTGAAATGCATTCACAATTTTATCGCAAAATGTCCCTATGTTGAGTCAGTGTCCTCATGTTGGGCATAATTTTTTTCTGGGAAAATAGATTTCGACTGCTGAATACAGGGTAGAAATTAAATAGTTCGATTGCACATGAGAAGCCAATTTATTTAAAAGAACTGGAATAGATCCGATGAAAGCCGGGTGTAATCACATCAACCCAACAGGTTCTTTCTTTCAAGCTACCACGTGTGTTTTCAAGTACAGTACAGTATCAACCTTTTTCGTTCATCATGAAGAAGAAGCGATTCTCATAAAATGCTGTAGACGGTAGACAATACAGTAAATAATTTAATTTCACATTAGGAGCAAATTTATTTAAAAGAGCTTGACCTAAAGAAAGCTGGACGTAATATTACATCAACCCAACTGGTGGTTATTTCATGTTTTGAGTCACAAACACTCTAGTTTCGAAAAACTATGTGTACTAATTCTTGAAATGTTGAGCTATCGTGCGATTTCAAGAATCAAGATAAGTTCAACTTTTTTTTGGGTACCATAGAGAAAAAAACGGTTTCGATTGAATGCTGTAGGCCGAAAATAATTTGATTACACATGAGAAGCTAATTTATTTCATGAAGCTGGATCGAAGAAAGCCGAGGGTAATCATATCTACCCAAAATGGCTTGTTTCCCGTCTTCAGTCACAAATACTTGTTTCAAAGAACTAAGTACTGTACAGCAGTGATTATCGAAATCTTGAACTAAAATTTAGCCACTAATTTCAAATACCGACCATTTTTGCGTAACGTGAAGGAAAAATGATTCTTATTGAATGCGGCAGAGAGTAAGTAATTTGATTACACATAAGAAGAAAATGTATTTCATATACAGCTGAATTCAACGAAAGCTGGACGTAATCATATCAATCTGTCTGTTTCCTGCGATCGCATCATGAACACTTTTTTCCAGAGAGCACCAAACTAATTTTTGAAATCTTGAAATACCATATCGTCATTGATCTCATGAATAAAACTATTTCAGAAATCAGAAATCATTTTGAGGATTTCTCAAAATGATAAGGGATCACGGCAATCAATCGAAGGGGCTTTTCTCTGTCGATTGGAAGCTAAAAGGTGAATTTTATGACAAAGATTCTCCTACTATGTTTTGAGACAGGTAAATCAATAACTGGAACCAGGAACTTTTTTCAAGGAAACAATTCCTCCACACAAAAATCCACGCCGTTTCAACAAATTCTCTCCACAAATTTGGGTCAACGTGTTAATAACCATTGTCACGCGAGGAATCGAAATGTTCAAAGGAAAAGTGTATAATACCTCATGCATATATAACGGAAAGGTAACTTCAAAAAAAAAAGAAAAAAAAAAAAAACGTTTCACACAGAGCTGGATCCAAAAGAGCTAAAGGGGATCACCAGAATACCCGAGGATTTTACTTTTTTTTTTTTCTCTTATCAGGATTACCCACTTTCTTTTGTAGCAGCGTGAGCGTATGTATGAAATCTTGTGAACTACCTAGCGTGGAATTTTTTTCGTAACTCTATATGGAGATACTTTTTTTTTTCGTATGGCTTCCCAAAGAAACAATCCAGTTGCAACCGTTAAAGAAATTATTGCATATTAATGTAATTCCAGGAACGCCGGCAAACAGTCAATCAAGCCAACTTGAACCAAAGAATGTTTGAAGCTTCTTATACATGTGGGGAATTTCCCTGAGTATGGGAAGGAATGTCCCCTGCCTGCCTCCCGGGAGAGTCAGGCGTCATGTTTTTCTCTCGCCCTTTTTTTTTTTATTATTTTGTCAGCATGAATCGGCGCGCCTGGGGATGCGCGCCGATTCTCAGTAAAAGGGGAAGCCAGCTGTTGGCGGATGTCGTCAAATAGTCCAACAGGAAGAGAAATCTAGCATTTTTCACCCTCATGTGAGGGTTGTAAACTCATTCCAAGACCCTCTTTAGAGCAGGGAAGTGTTTTACTGCAGACAGCTGCAGCTTTGAAGTCATTCCCAGATTTTGGGAAACCAGTACATGAGAAGCCAGCCAGGGAGTCTTTCCCAGGCTTCACTAAAAATGCACCCCTGGTAAGAATCCAGGGAAGAACAGAGTTCAGTTTAACCAGAGTCCCAGGACAGAGAGGTTCTCCTCAAAAATCACTGGGTTTAAATACTAAATATAAACTTCAATCTTTGCCCAAGTTTGGGCTTCAAAGGATCCTTGTATAAGGATATTAAATCAGACGGGCCTGATTAAAGGCCAAGGACTTTTAGCAACAGGAATTTAATCAGATCTGGACTTCCACTTGGAATTGAGATTCTGGTCCACAATTGTTTTGTGTGTGTGTGTTGTGGAAATTGAAAACTGTGTTTGTCAAATATCTTTGTGAAGTGTTGTGCAAAATCCTTAATTTGTGATGAGAAAACAAAGTTTGCGCATATATCTTTTGGCCAGTCGCGCACCGGCCAATTGCTGTGTATACTTTTATTACATCAAAACCAATCATTTGTATATATATATATATATATATATATATATATATATAAATATATATATTTATAACCAGTTTTCTACAAAGAACATCATTCTTGGTATATATATATATATATATATATATATACATTTCTAAACTCAAAATTGTAAAAGGTATAGTACAAACCTTTTTGCACCAATAAATTTGTACAATACATACATAATACTGTACCTCTCATATCACTTGTTTCTGTACAGTACTGTATATGCATTTATTTAAAGGTGAATTTGATTTATTCATCCTCTCTGTTGAAAAAGGCAGTTTTAATACTGATGTACAGAGGGTATATTGATTAAAGGATGGAGTCCTTGATGCGCATGTATTAATTGTCGGTTTTTCGCTTTCAATTTTCAAACTAAGAATACTTTTTTTGAGAATTTTGAATAGATATGAAGTGCATGAATTCCGATCTCAACTTGATTCAAGTTTACCGCAAACTTCTTCGGTAGTCTTCAGTTTTCGAAAATTAGGTGTAAGAGCGCATTTCTGAAAATTGAAAAAAAAGTTGACCAACAAATTATCCAGAAAGAAGTTGTTGGGAAGACGACTTCACAGATTCAAATGTCTTTCAAGCCTTATTCAGCTATTCTCCAGCATTCAACAGTTCCTTTTCTTTCCTTTTATTCTCTTTACATTCGCTTGGAAGGTATAATTTCCAGTAAACCTAAAAAAGCTTAGAGGAACACGTCCCAGTAAAGAATGAAAAGGAAAAAAAATAGCGAGGCTTTCAGCAGAGTAGTCGAAGAAATCCATAGGAATAACCCGTGTTACATCTTCAATCATGCCGACGTTTTCAGGTTCACTGATAGGAAAAAAAAGGAAAATTCGTCCGTTTAATCTAGATTCATGGGTCAAGAAATAACAGGCTGCAAGCAGAAATCTCCAATTTAATTGTGGCAGTTTTGTTCCGTCATTACGTCGGTTTGGCCCGTTGTTTGTTTCTTCGTATATATACAGGCCATCCGAAGTTCAATCAAGCAAGCTGAAGCGTCCCTTGGAAAGAGCAATTCAACAGGAGAATGCTTCTTTTTTCCTCGGGAAACATTTTATTCTTAAGATCTTCCATCTCAGGCTGCTGAAGAGATAATATACGAGGGATGGGTAGAAAGTTTCTTTTTTTTTCGGGACCTGAAAGTGCATTTATTCCTTCGTTTATACAAAACGTTTTTTGGAGTCCGAAATTCCCCAAACAATTATTGTGTGATGCATACAAAATAAGTACACATTTTTATTCGTGAAGGATTTCAAATTTTTATTCTTGAAGTTCTTGATCATCAGTCAAGTTTTGAATTCAATTACCACGAAACGTAACTCTTTGATCAGAAAAGTTTATTTTGTAGCCTTATTTTCGAACCGAAACGTCGACGAACATATTTTCCCTTTGAGTTAAAAATAAAATGAAAATTGGCGACTCTGGTAATGCCTGAAAATTGGATTAACACGCCAGTGTTGGAGTTAATCAACGTACTTCCGTACCCATAGCTGGCTAACTTTCAATTTTTTCTCTCCGATGTATTCAAACAGTGTGTGTGAGAAAAATTGCGAGAAAATTATGCCTGAATTCCTATGTTTTGCACAGAATTTAGTCGATTTCAACCCTGCCTAACTCGAGGTCTTGCTCATCAGTCGAGTTTTGGATTAAATTACAATGACACGAAACTCTTTGATTCGAAATTGGTTGACGCACCATTATTTTCGAAATTGGAAAGGCGACGAACATATTTTTTTCTTTTGAAATAGAGACATTGGCGACGCTCGTATAATGCCTGGAAATTGAATTAATATGCCAGTGTTGGAGCTGAACCATACTTCCGTAAACATAACTGCCGGCTAGACTTTCAATTTTCGTTTCTTCGATCTATTCAAACACCGTGAATCAGAAAAATTGCGAGGAAATTATGCCTGAATTCCTTTGTTTTGTGAAGAATTTAGTCAATTTCAACCCTGCCTAACTCGAGCTCTTATTGCTCAGCAGCCGATTTTAGATCCAAGAACAATGACACAAAATTATGTTATCAGAACACGTTTCTTTTGCTACATTATTTACAAAATTTGGACGTCGACGAACATATTTCCTTTGACTAGGAAAAAATGGTCACTCTTTTAATGGCTGAAGATTGAATCAATGCCCCCCGGTGTTACATTTGAACCGTATTTCCGGAACCAGAACCGGCATCACTTCCAATTTCCGGTTCTTCAATCTATTATCAGACATAAATAAGAACAATTGCGAAGAAGTGATATGCAGTATATAAACGCTGTAAGAAACGTCTACGCACATTTGGCAAGACTCCGTCAAAAACTGACAAAACTTATGAGCCAAGCACATATTGCGTTCGAAAGAACAAAAGAACAACTAACTTTTAAATCCGATTTTCCCGGGCCGGGTTGACATGAAGGTTTCCCCAGTGAGTCGGTTGACGAAGCGACAGTGGAACTCGGAAAGAACATCGCCGGGTCCCGCGTCCAACACCAACAGGTCCCCCGAAGGCAACATGTGAAATTTCCCATCTGGATTTCCGGAAAATCAAAGAGGGGAAACATGGTACATATAATCGTGGAAATAGATGAAAGAATCCGGGAGACTGTGTTGAATCAAAGCGTGGAACTGCTGAGTATTGCCTGTCAAACGCAGCCAAGCCACTGTATGTATGTAGGTGGAGCCCTGAAAAGCCCCTCCATGCAGCACCCTACAGTCTTTCATGCTGTGTTATACTGATCAAAAAACTTGTCGTCAAACGCAGTATAGTCACATGTCACCACGAGAAGAGCAACTCAAAGAAAGGTCAACAGTTGTACCGGAATGACATGAAAAATATCGAGCAAAACTCTCAATTCTCCGCACCCTTTTTTTATTGCGGGATTTTTCACGCAGTTGGAAACTGTTGACGCGATTATTGACCCCCAATCGACTTCGGTGTGGAATATGATCTTAATAAAATACACCTTCTTTTCTGATTTTCATTCACACTTGAAAATGAGCCATGGTTCGTAACTTAATGATATATCAAATTATCTTGCAAAACCCCAGTTTGAACTGTACTGTGGCCCAAAATGTATCGCTATTAAATTAATTTCACTCTCATCAACACTCAGAGACCATCGTCTTGAGCATGTGTTTAAATCCTGTACTAAAAACCAAACATTAAACATGTAAATTGCCCAGCATGTTGAAAGATTTTCGAAAAATCTTTCCATATACATACCGTAGTTGTCTTTTTAAGGTCTACGACGGCTGATGATGAAAAATTTATTGAATGCTAATTTCCGGTGAAATGCGAATTAGTAAACTTTATTTTCAATATGTAGTTTTCCAGGGCAACATTTTTCTGTACGTCAAGGCTTTTTTTTTTTTT